TTTCTGAATATTGACTTTCTATCCTGCTGTTTGACCAAATTCACTTATTAGGTCAAGTAAGGTCTGTGGTGTAATCTTTGGGGTTTTCTGTGTACACTGTCATGTCATTTGCAAACAATGACAGTTTTAGTTGCTTCTTTCCAATCTGGATGCCTTTTATTTCTTTTTCTTGTCTGACAGCTGTGGCTAGGACTTCCAATACTATGTTGAATAGAAGTGGTGAAAGCGGACAACCTTGTCTTGTTCCCAATCTTAGTGGGAAAGCTTTTAGTTTTTGCCCATTGAGTATGATGTTGGCTGTAGGTTTTTCATATATGGCCTTTTTTATGTTGAGGTATGCCCCCTTTATTCCCACTTTGCTCAGTGCTTTTATCATAAATGGATGATGTACCTGATCAAATGCTTTTTCCGAAACTATTGACAGGATCATGTGATTTTTGTCTTTCCTTTTGTTTGTTTGATATATTACGTTTATTGATTTGCAAATATTGAACCACTTGATCATGGTGGATGATCTTTTTCATGTGTTGCTGGATGCAGTTTGCCAATATTTTGTTGAGAATTTTAGCTCTATGTTCATCAGCAATATTGGCCTGTAGTTGTTTCTTTGCTGTGTCTTTATCTGGCTTTGGACTTAGGATGATGCTGGCCTCATAGAAAGTGTTTTGGAGTCTTACCTCTTCTTAGGTTTTTTAGAATAGTCTGAGAAGGACAGGGTTTAGCCCTTCCTTAAATGTTTTGTAAAATTCTCCTGTGAAACCTTTGGGTCCAGAACTTTTGTGTGCTGGGAGTTCTTTGATTACTGCTTCAATTTCACCAGCTGGTATCAGACTGTTCAGGCTTTCTGCTTCTTTTTCATTCCGTGTTGGAAGGTTATGTTTTTCTAGAAATTTTTCCATTTCACCTAGGTTTTCAAATTTCATGACATATAATTGTTCACAGTAATTTCTTACAATCCTTTGTATTTCTGTAGTATCAGTTGTTATTTCTCCTCTTTCATTTCTGATATTATTTATATGGGTCCTCTCCCTTCTTTTCCTGATGAGTCTTCTTAAAGCCTTGTCGATTTTGTTTATCTTCTCAAGGAACCAGCTCCTGGATTTATTGATCTTTTGAATTGTTCTTTTAGTCTCTGTGTCATCCAATTGTGCTCTGATCTTGATTATTTCCTTCCTTCTACTCTCTCTGTCTCTGTTGGTTGTTGTTTCTCCAATTCTTGAAGATGTAGGGTTAAGTCATTTATTTGAAATGTTTATCTTTTTTTAAGTAGGCCTATATTGCTATGAACGTTTCCCTCAGGACTGCCTTTGCTGTGTCCCGTTGGTTTTGGACTGTCATGTGTTCATTTTCATTTGTTTCCAGAAACTTTTTGATGTCTTCTTTGATCTCATTATTGACCCATTCATTGTTTAATAGCATGCTATTCAGTCTCCTTGAGTTTGAATGTTTTTGAGTTTTTTCCTTGAGGTGGATTTCTAGTTTCAAGCCCTTGTGCACCAAGAAAATGCTTCTTATGATTTCAATTTTCTTGAGGCTTGTTTTGTGTCCTATCATGTGGTTTATCTTTGAAAATGTTCCATGTGCATTTGAAAAGAATGTGTATTTTGTTTCTTTGGGATGAAAGCTTCTATATATGTCAGTTAAGTCCCTTTGTCTAGAGCATTGTTCAATGCAGCAATATCTTTGTTGATATTTTGTTTGGAAGATCTATCCATTGTTGGCAGTGGGATATAAAAATCCCCTAGTATAAGCATGTTGTTGTCTATATCTTTCTTGAAGTCCTCCAAGATTTTCCTTATATATTTGGGTGTTCCTATGTTGGGTGCATCTTGATTTACAATGTTTCTGTCTTCTTGATGGGTTCTTTTTTTAGTATTATGAAATGTCCTTCGGGTCTCTTTATGGCCTCTGTTTTGAAATTTATTTTGTCTGATATAAGTATTGTTACCCCTGCTTTTCTTTCCTGTCCACTTGCTTGGAATATATTTTTCCATCCCTTTACTTTCGGTCTGTGTAGGTCCTTTTTTATATGGTGGGTCTCTTGTAGGAAGCATATGTGCGGGTCATGTTTTTTATCCATTCAGCTACCCTATGCCTTTTGATTGGAGCATTTAATCCATTTACATTTAAAGTTCTTATTGACAGGTACTTACTCATTTTTTTCCCTTTGTGTCTATGTTCCTCACTTTCTCACTCTTTTTCTTCATTTTCCTTAAGCAGTTCCTTTAGCATATTTTGCAGTGCTGCTTAGGTGGAGGTGTATTCTTTTAGCCTTCTTTTGGCTGGGAAATTCCTTATTTCACCTTCCATTGTAATTGAAAGCCTTGCTGGGTAGAGCAGTCTTGGTTGAAGGCCTTTGTTTTTCATTACTTGGAATATTTATTTCTATTCCCTTCTGGCTTGTAGTGTTTCTGTTGAGAAGTCAGTTGCTATCCCTATCGGGGCTCCCTTGTATGTTACTACCTGTTTCTCTCTTGTTGCCTTTAGGATCCTCTGTTTGTCTTTGATAGTTGTCATTTTAATGATGATGTGTCTTGGAGTGGGCCTCATTGGGTTTCTCTGGAATGGTACCCTCTGTGCTTCCTGGACTTGTGTGATTTTTTTCTCTCCTCAAATTAGGGAAATTTTCCATCATTACTTTTTCAAACAGGTTCTCTATTCCTTGTTTCTCTTCTACTTCACGTATCCCTATTATATGGATATTACTACGTTTCATGTTCTCTTGCATTTCCCTTAATGCCTCTTTGTTCTTTTTAAGTCTTTTTTTCATTTTCTTGCTCTTTCTGGGAGCTTTTTTCTACCTTGTCCTCCAGCTTGCTGATTTGATCCTCTGCGTCATCTAGCCTGCTTTTGATTCCTTTTACTGTATTCTTCAATTCAGAAATTGTATTCATTTTTTTCTTGCCTATTACTGATAGTTTCTATGTCCTTCTCCTGCTGATATAGTTTGCAGTAATTTCCTCATAGTTTCCCTATAGTTTTTTGCAATTTTCTCAGAGCTCACTGAGCTCATTGAGCTTCCTTAGAACTGTTGTTTGGAACTCAATATCTGATAGATTACTTGCTCCTATTTCATTTAATTCTTTTTCTAGGGATTCCTCCTTTCCCTTTGATCAGGCAATGTTTCTTTCTTTTCCCATTATATGTGAGACTCTTCTTTTTTACTTCTTCTTAAATTGATCTTTCTTGACTTCCTGACTTTGTGGTGTGAACTTCTATGGTTGGAGACCGCTGTTTTTTCTTTCTGGATTTGCCTCTGATGATGTCAGATGTTGGCCCCGTCTGACCTTTGGATGGATGGCTGTTCGGGATCCAGGAATCTATTCTCTGGTGGCTGTCTCCTTTAGTTGTTAATCTAGTCACTCTGCACACAGCAGTCAGGCTTAAGTACCATGGGGCGGTGCAGAGTCCCTCCTGAAGGTGGGGTAGTGTGTCCTCTCATGCTGCCACAACGCAGGGGAGTGGTCTGCCCAAGCCAGATGGCTGCTGCTGTATTGAGATGTCAGCACCGGGATCCTGCAGCTAATCTCTCAGTTCTCTCCCCAAAGCCTCCATCTCCAGTGTCTCCTCAAGTGTCTCTAGACCACTCCTCTCCCCCCTTATCCAGGGATCTACTATCTGTGACTGCCACTCTGTACTCAGTAATCAGGCTTAAGCACCACTGGGCAAGGGCAGAGCCTCCTGGGGGCGGGGCTATTGTGTCCTCTCATGCTGCTGCTGCTCAGGGGAGTAGTCTGCCTGAGCATGATAGCTACTGCCCTATGGGGGATGGCACAGCACTGTGATCTCGCCGGCTATTCCCTCAGTTCTCTTCCCCAAAACCTCCTTCTCCAGTGTGTCCTCCACCATGTCTAGATCACTCTGCCCCCACCCTTGCCAGATCCAAGGGTGTCTGCAAATTAAAATTTATGCGTTGGCCCTTTAAACAACTATTTGCATCTCCAAACCACCCATCTCTGGCAGAGCAGCCCTGCAGCTCTTTGCAGCTGGCTGTTATCTATGTACTTTTTGGCTCTTGTGCTGTAGGCTGGAGATGCCTGCTATGGTTCAGACCCCACTCTTCTCAGGGAAATCCAACTGGCCACTTAAATATCCCTCTGGCGCTGCTGCCTGTCGGTGCCCAGCCAGTTTTCTAGAGTCTCCCTGCACTCCTTACCAGTTTGTGCAAAAGGTGATTCTTCTGTCTGTCCGAGGTTATAAGGCTTCCCTCTCACTATTGTTTAGATGTTTGGTCCAGGTGATTGCTCCACAATTTAGTTTTAATTCCAAGTTGGTCCTGGTAGGTCAGTGTGACTTCCATTCACTCCTCTGCCATCTTAACTCTCCTCTATCCTGGGGACAATTGGTAGGATTTCATCAATGTGGAAGACTGGCATGATGGCCTATCAATTATTTATATGATTGACTTTCTCAGACTCACTCCCTCTGAGCTCCAGCACCAGGTTAGCAGCTTGAAAGGCACTTGTGGCATATGAGGAGAATCTGAAGTGTCTTGCATTAAGGTCGCAGCTTTCTCCCAACAGAAAAGCTATTAGAGGTCGTTGTCCCTTTTTGAGCCCTCCCTCAACACAGCCACAGAGCCAGCATGTGGGGGCCATATCTGTGACCCTATCTACGTTGCTAACACTGTTTGCTTTACCCTGGAGATAGATCTAATCAAATATTTCTCACAATAACAGCACTGATTTAGAAATTGACTTGATGTATCCCTAGTCAGCATGTAATGGGACTTGATTTTCACCAGATTGTTTCTGCTGCATAGGATATCATTTTATAATATTGCATTGTCTTATAAAACTTAAGCACCAAAGGTTAAAACATTGTTACTATCCAGAAAGAGAAATATGCAATGTCCTATTTCATAAAGCAGCTCAGTGCTTGCAATTGTATAGTCTGCTTTCAACAATGGTTTTACAGACTACTGCTGAATTAGGAACTCAGAGTGTCATCTTTATAGCAGTCATTCTGTCTCTTTTTCTCTTTTTTTACTTTCTTTTCAGAAATACTTGCTGAAAGACTTCCAGTATGCACTAAGTTGCTCAGGTGTTGACGATATACTCACGAAGAAGATGTCACCTTTGGCCTCAAGGTGCTTGTGTCCTTTTGCAGTCCTGCAGTTTATGGAAGAGAAGGCAGGTCAGTGTGACATCCATGACGATGGGAGAGCTCCGAGCTCTGTCCAGTGACCCCAACACTGCCTTCATTTCATTGTTACCAGCTCATATTCTGGAGCTTCCACAACTGCATAAAGTGCAGAGTATTCAATTCCAAGAGAAAGAGAGTTTGGGAAAGGGGAACAAAGAGAAGGTAGCAAGGAAGAGGCCATAGTGCTGAAGGCTTTTAAATAAAAGGTGTGATATAGTTTTAGTTAACAATGACCCAGCTCACTAGAACTAGCATGTCAGATAGTGATCAGTAGAACATGCAATAAAGTGTTTATACACAGAACCTCAATGTTTAATCATTATTTCACACACTGTGCCTGGATAACTTTATTGTAAGCCATATAATCTTGCTGCAGGCCTTACTTGACAAGACATTACACAGTCATAAATACCAACTCTTCATTACCTATGTAGTTTGGAAAACTTTCAAGTTTGTGACATGTTAATGCACATAAAAAATTAAATATGCAGTGAAAAAAAGAAGATACATTTATAAAGATACTCAAAAGAATTTTTGCACTTGGATTTGCCTCGCTTGATTATAAAAATTCAAAGCCATCTTCCCGCCTAACATTTTCATGAGGGTTTTCTCCTTCCCTGGGATTGAGCTACTAGTACAAAGGATTAAACAGTTTAAACAAACATGAATATCATTGAGAAGCACAAGAGGAAAGTCTTGGTGTGGCTGGTGGAAACCAGAACACAATGGTTGAGAAAGAACATACATAAATCTGTGTGTGTCACAAGCAGTAATTTGCGTTGACTTCAGATGTCTTTCCCACAGTCGGGGCACAGGATGTCATCCCTTTCGGTGAGGAAGCCTCGGCCCACCAGGGAGAGGGAGCACTTCTTGCAGTTAAAGCAGTCGTTATGCCACTGCCGTTCCTCAAAGGAGATGTACTTTGTGCCGCCAAGTCCTATTAACAAAGAAAAAAAAACACCAAATGAAGAGAGGAAGGGAACATTGCTTGTTAGACTCAGCACTGGGACTGAAAAAGGAATACTGGTTTGATCCATTTGAAAGTTTGGATTTCTGGGTACTGGGATCCATGTAAAAATTAGATACTATGCACAGCCTTGTGGAGCTCAGAAATATCAGAAGAAACAGATCTATAAACTGGCTCCAAAACTATATAATACTATAATTATAAAGAGCCTAGTGCATGTATTTGTTTTTCCCACCAGAATGAAACTCACTGAGACAGGGAGCTGATTTCTTCCACTCGTGTCTGGCACTGTTTTGAGATTTAATGAATGAAGGCTTAAAAGGGAAGTTGAAGAGGAAAATGTTAATTTTTTCTGTAATGTCGAGGAAACACTTCACAAAAGAAATGATGTGTGGGTGTGAGAGCAGGGGGTGGACTTAATTGCAGAGGGGCTACCATGAGACTAGTTACAGAAACGAAGTTAGGTAGTAGGAGCTGGGGAAGAGTTACAGGTCTAGTGAGACTGGTTGGGAGACAGGGCTGCTAGGAGGTGAGAGCAGCTTATGATGTGTGGGCTGCAGAGACAACTATCATATGTTAAAAAAAAACTAGGAATACATTTCAATTTGGATGCTTGCCTTTTGTTTCATGACTAACTCTTCTCAAATGTTTAGGGTAAATTGGCTGCTTATTACAATATAGTTTTGGTTTGTACTACCGCCAAGCCCTTTGAAATAAAATGAAATCAAATTTATGATTATCTTAGAGTTGGGATAGATTTTGATGAAATTTAGATCATGAATTCCAATTACAAAGAATTCTTTCCAGAAATAATGCATTGTTCAATCTACCATTTTAAAAACAAAATAACCAGATACACTTTGTCTCTTCACATAACCAAAAGAAGGACAACAAATTTAAAAACAAAAAATAACCAGAATTGCCAGAAAATCAAACTGTATGGAAGTCCGACAACCAAGGCGTTAAAGAAGAAACATTTATCCAGACAGGTAGGAGGGGCGGAGATGGGCAGCTGGCAAGGAGAGGACACAGGGCAAGGCTGTGGCTGGAGGGCCAGGCGGTCCCACATTTGTGTGCACATGAACCAAGAAGAACAGCTGGGGCGCGAGAAAGACTGCGCAACCCATGGTTCCAGTGCGGGAAAAGAAAGCCTCAAAACCTCTGGCTGTAAAAATCTGTGGTGGATGCGGCAGTGGAAGAAACTCCCAGCCTCACAGGAGAGTTCATTGGAGAGACCCACAGGGTTCTAGAACATACACAAACCTACCCATCCAGAATTTAGCACTAGAAGGGCCCAATTTGCTTGTGGGTAGAGGGGGAAGTGACTGAAAGGCTGGCTGAGAGCCAAATAAGCAGCATTGCTCCCTCTTGGACCCCTCCCCCACATAGAGTGTCACAACACAGCAACCTGGGTTGCCCTGCTCTGGCAAATACATAAGGATCTACCCCTTCCTACGTAACATGCGCACTGAGACAAAGAAATATGGCCCAAATGAAAGAACAGATCAAAGCTTCAAAAATAGAACTAAATGATGAAGAGACAGCCAACCTATCAGATGCACAGTTCAAAACACTGGTAATCAGTATGCTCACAGGAATGGTTGAATATGGTTGCAAAATGGAGGGAAAAGTAAAGGCTATGCAAAGTGAAATGAAGAAAAATATACAGGGAATCAATAGTAAAGGTAAGGAAACTGGGACTCAAATCAACAATTGGGAGCAGAAGGGAGAGATAAATATTCAGTCAGAACAGAATGAAGAAATAAGAATTCAAGAAAATGCGGAGAGACTTAGGAATCCCCAGGACAACTTTAAACATTCCAACATCCAAATCATAGGGGTGCCAGAAGGAGAAGAGGAAGAGCACAAAATTGAAAACTTATTTGAAAAAATAATGAAGGAGAACTTCCCCAAACTGGCAAAGGAAATTGACTTCCAGGAGATCCAGGAAGCTCAGAGAGTCCCAAAGAAGTTGGACCCAAGGAAGCACACACCAAGGCACATCATAATTAAGTTACCCAAGATTAAAGATAAGGAGGAAATCTTAAAAGCAGCAAAGAGAAACGGAGACAGCCACCTATGAAGGAGTTCCCATAAGACTAGCAGCTGATTTCTGAAAAGAAACCTTACAGGCAAGAAGGGGCAGGCAAGAAGTATTCAAAGTCATGGAAGACAAGCACCTACATCCAAGATTACTCTATCCAGCAAAGCTGTCAATTAGAATGGAAGGGCAGATAAAGTGCTTCCCAGATAAGGTCAAGTTAAAGGAGGTCATCATCACCAAGCCCTTATTATATGAAATGTTAAAGGGACTTATCTAAGAAAAAGATAAAAATCTTTGAACAGTGAAATGACAACAAACACAACTGTTGACAACTGAACCTAAAGAAAAACAAAGTAAGCAAACAACTAGAACAGGAACAAAATCACAGAAATGGAGATCAGAGGGGAGGGGGAGGGGGGAGAATGGGAGAAAAGGTACAGGAAATAAGAAGCTTAATTAGTAGGTACAAAATACACAAGGGGATGTTAAGCATAGTATAGGAAATGGAGACGTCAAAGAAATTATATGTATGACCCATTGACATGAACTAAGGGGGGGGGGATGCTGGTGCTAGGGCAGGTGCAGGGTGGAGGGGAATGAAGGGGAGGAATAAAATGGGACAACTGCAATAGCATAATAAAATATATATATCAGACTAGCATGCGAAGTCTGTAATTCATCAAATAGTTTGGCGAGGCTGACGTTAGGCATTCAATCTTTTTACACGGGGGATACCCGAGGCCCTAGAGATTTTCCCCCCCTCAGCTATATAGTGACAGGGTTGGGACTTGAACTTGTCCTGTAATGTAAGTTCATGTGCTCGTTGTAATACCACACCATCTCTGCTACACTAGTAATGCTTTTCAACTCTTTCTAAATATGTTATAGCTTTAAAAGTTGAGTTACAATATTGATTGCCTCTAACACTAGACTCATAAGGGCTATAAAAGGCCTACAGATCAGAGTTCATGCCCTAGCCCTGAGGCAGAACCAAACTAGTGATTTAGGCCAGTGGGTCTCAAACTTTTCTGCATATTTGAAGTTTTTAAAACATCCAGATCACCCTGGCAGGTGTAGCTCAGTTGGTTGGGCGTCATCCCACAGAACGAAAGGTCACCAGTTTGATTCCCAGTCATGGCACAGACCTGGGTGGTGGGCTGGTGTCTGGTTGGGGCATGTGTGAGAGGCAACCGATTGATGTTTCTCTCCCTCTCTTCCCCTCTCTCTAAAAAATAAATAAGTAAAATCTTAAAACTTCCAGATCATGGCCAATTAATTCATGACCCAGTCAGCAGTAATTTTTAAAGCACCCCAACCATTTTCAATGTGTAGCCATGTTTGTAAATCAGCGGTTTAGGCAACACTTTAACTTCACTCAGGGGCAGGGACTGCAGAACAGCTAGAAGATACACAACACAGCTCATTTTATTGCACTTTACTATGTTTCATAGATGTTGTGTTTTTTTGTAAATTGAAGGCCAGATCCTTCACCAGCAAAAAGATTAGAGCTTACTTTATTATGACCTTGCTTTAGTGTGGCGGTCTAGGCTGAACCCGCAGTATCTCCAAGGTGTACCTGAACTCGTTTTTCTTTTCATCACTGAGCAAACTGGAAAGCCCAAAAGCAGCTAGGAAGCCCCCCAGTGTTTCTACCATTCCATGTTTCTTCTTTCTCCTTCCTCTGTTAAGTCCTGCTATCCTGTAGATCTGGGGCAAGGAGGAGCATTGGGAAGGAGAGGATGGAAAGGATGTTAGTGATAGGAGTTGTGCTGGACAGCTGTCCCAGGTTGAAAGCCTCCTTTTAGAAGGTCCACTATTTCCTTGACAGCAAAGGGGGCAAGTGATAGATATGAGATCCAAAGACAGGCTGGGGAATGAATTCTGCTAAAGGTGAGAGGCATGTACAGTAAATTCTCACTATTTCAGGTAAATCTGTTCTATAAAGTCACTGTGAACAATGGATTAGCATATGCTGAACCCCTGCTCCTGCAAGAAATACAGGGTGAGGTTCCTATGAGCCTCTGGTCACAACATTTCTATCACCAATACATGACCTTGTTTTGTGTCTATTTCTGTTTAAAGACTTATTTAATATGCATTGTTGACTCATAAACATTGAACTTATGCCCAACAGTACTGCAATGCAAGCCTGAAGGAAGCTTATTTAACGCACAAGGCACCTCACAGCCTTCCTGGGCTCAGGAACAGACAGCACTATCCTTGTGGGGGCATTTTAAGCAATGAAAATGCCAATAAAAAGCACAGAAAATGGAAAAAACATGGCACTAAACAGACCATGAAAAGGGCCTTTGTTTCCAATAGGAGTTGAAACAAGAAGATAGAATATTGCTTCGTTGCACCTTGACTGGGAAATGTTCACATCAGATGACTCAAATTATCACCATATCTGTGCATGTATGCAAATGAGCATGAAAACGCTGTAAGTTTTGATTTTGTAGTCACAAATACATGTTGATGAGTAGGTAAATTTGCAAATACAAACTCTGAATAATGAGGACTGACTGAATTAAGCATCACTGCACAGAAAATGTTGGAAAACATAAGTTCAAATGTATTTACAATCACTTAAAGTTTGTTAAAGAAAAAAGTACTAAGGATCTATTAGAAACGTAATCTAGACTCACAACCTTGCACATTTGTTTGGGAATCTCGCTGAAAGTACATTTCAGTTGCAATTTCAAAACTCCTCAGTAGGTTCCTGAGCTTTAGTCTCTGTATTTCAGACAATTAACTCTCCTCTTTTGGAGTAAAGTTTTCATTATGTTTTTCTAGTGCTACCCCCACCCCCGCCCCAGTGCTACAATTGTAATAACCACAGTTAACAGACATACCTGATACTTTACATTTAAAAGTGCTTTTATGTAGATTATATTGCTTTATAAAGCTTAATTTTATAACATTTACTTCTATAGAAGTTACTGCAAAACAGCATTAAAGATTAATACATTAGTGCAATAAACTTCATTTTCCCCCCAAATGCTGCCAAGGGAAATCTGGTATATAAATGACTGTAACTGGGTGTCTTGATATAGAACAATTTAAATGCAATGCTTCTCTTCTTTATCATTTCATATGGACATATGAGCTCAGAAATACACATGACATGAGAGAATTATTCTAGTGACCTGGGATTTTCTACATCAGGTGAGTTAGCCGACTTTGGTGAACTTGGTTCTAGACCTAAGGAAAAAGAAAGTCAAACAAGTACAGAAAGGGTATAAAATGTGATGCCACACAGAAACACTATTTAGCTAGGGTCTGTGTTTATACTGCATGCATTTGCCATCTGCCCTGGGTAGGGATTGACTGAATGTCACGGAACTGGGAACCCCATGTCATTGAGCTCCTCCAGTGCCGTTGCAAAATCTCCCAGTCTTCCCTCCCAGCCTTGTCACTGATTTGTGTGACAGTATGTAGGGCACATTTAGAAGACTTTAGTCAGACCAGTAATCTGTTCCCCATACTGAATTTCTCAGCATGTTTCATAGTTTTGTCCAATGTCCAGTCTGCCAGCCAACTGGATTTGGGGCTCTCACTTTGCCCAGCCCTTTGGGGGATATGAAAGAACTACCTAGAATGTTGCCTTGTCCTCTCAAACAGCCATGGCCTTGTGGGAGAAAAGTCTCTCCAACCCTGAAAATTCCAGTTTCATTGTGCTTATATGGTTGTCATATACTCACAGAATGCAGTTTTGGAGATAATACAACCAAAAGCAAACATAATAAACCTCTTGAGAATGGGCCATTCATATGGTTTTCAGTGATCAGGTGAGTTAGAGGGGAAGCCGTTATCTGTGGAATTGTCCAGTGTAACACGGACAAGAAACCGGAAAGAAAGTCAGCTCGGAATCTTTGAGACCCAGAGAATCTAGGTACACAGGCAGACCTCATCTTATTGTGATTCGTTTTATTGCACTTCACAGGTGTTGGATTTTTACAAATTAAAGACAAGACCCTCCACCAGCAAAAATAGTATGACTCACTTTATTGTGGGGCATCCGGAACCACAATATCTCCAAGGTGTTGCCTGTATAAGCAAATTCACATGCTAAAGTCTTATACCTTGCTCAACCTTCAAATGGCTATGTGAAGGAGAGTGGAAGATCATGAACCCAAGCAGGGACTCCCAGAGACACTCACCACTGATGGGGTTGGTGCATCCGGCACACTTCTTGGCATAAAGGTCGCAGAAGCAGTTCAGGCAGTAAGCAAACTCGTCCCGGGATGTGAAGCGCTGCCCGGACAGTGGCTTCCTACAGGCTGTGCACACGAAGCACTCCTTGTGCCATGGCTGCTCCCGGTAAGTGACTCCTCCAGTGGTGATGGGCTGGAGGAGGCAAGAGGGCAAAGGTCAGTCTCCCAAGGCAGAGTGGCCTCTGTTCTTAGCACTCTTTCCTATCCTCCACTGTTGCCATCAGTGATGCAAGATCCTCACCCAGAAAACATCCAGCTCTGGTTAAGTCACTGAGAAACTGCTTCACAGACTTCATAGTCACCCCTCTATTACCCCTTCCACTGCTGCAGACCCTGGCATTCCTGCTTGTGAGACAGGTACTAGGACATCACCTTCGGCCCCTCAGAGGGATGCTGGGACTCAAAGGTGCAGTGTCACAGGCAGCAGTGCTTCCTCGCCAGGGAGGAGGTGATGTCGCGAGGGTGAACACCAGAGCCCACATCAAGAAGAGAGACTTGAATCCTAACCCTGCTCCTGACAGCCCCTGGGCCTGTGGGCTAGTCATCCATAAAGATCCCTGTGCAACTTGGTCTATTCATTAGTTGTAGATGAGGTTAAAAGACACCATGGGATTGGGCCTGCTGATGCTGTATGGAAGAACAGGCATCTTGGAGGGTTGGGGGAAAATAAGCCCACAGCCTTCCTTCTCATTCCATCTTACAGTCTACAACTTTTGTGAGAAGCCTAATATACCAGAACTGCTCATCAATGCCTCGATTTGCTCTATTTTCCTTTTTATACTCATTGAAAAATGGATGAAGACAGAACTGAGTATGGTATGTGAGGAGTCCAGTGAGTCTCAGCTTGACAGAGCAATGGTAATGGAAGATGGAGTGGAAATGCTCACATCAACACATTTGGGAAGTGTATTTTTCAACACTGCTGTATCATCCAGTACCTCCTCTATTACTAACATAAAGACAGACATTATTGCCATTTTGCAGACGAGTAAACTGGGACCCAAAGAAATTAGGTGACTTGCCTGAGAATTCATAGCTAGTTAATGAAAGGAGGAACTGAAGTTTAGGACTTCCTTCCTTCTATCCTGTATTCTTTTTATTAAACTATAAACCATTAAAAATTACCCTGTAAGTATTCCCCTAAGGAATAGAATTTGTGCAAAATATGTTGGGGGGGGGAGGGGCAAGGTATCTACATGGCTCCAGAAGGCGTTTATGTGTAAGACATTTCCTTTGTCTGAAGTACACTTTCTTGCCCTCCCTCCACCCAGATTCCATGGCCCCCTCCCCCTCACATCACCCAGCTAACTCAGATGTCTTGGCATAGATGGCTCTTTCTTAGAGAATGTTCCCTAAACACCACCCTGGGTCCCCAACTCAGATTACTGCAGGTCCTCCAGGGGTACACTCTGTTACAACTGTTATTTTCCAAAGCATACTTGTCAATAGTACTTGAATGTTTGACATTAGAGTATATATCTACCCAGACTGTGTCTTGTCTCCTCTACCATCAGACCCTCATGCTCTAGAGTGCCTGTGAGAGGGAGGAATGGCTGCTTCTGGCATGCATGCTGCTGTGTGTACTGATGATCACATGCACACACAGCTGTGCAGCCCAGAAGGCGATGTGCCTTCATTTCTGCAATTAAATGGCACAATAACATGGGGAAAAATGCAGAGAAAGGGAAGCAACTAAAATGAACTTCCCTTGGATCTATTAAGAAAAACAAAACCAAAAAGGAGCAGGCGGACAAGAGGATTCCTAATATAAACACAGAAGTGAAATTCAATCTAAGGACAAAGAACTAAATACTACACAAATAGCATGATCATGACAGGGGAATAGGGAGAAATGGAATTGAAAACAGTAGTAAAGAAAAAAATGGAAACGAGCATCCTGACCAACATGGCTCAGTTGGCTGAGCATCATCTCACAAACTGAAAGGTCGCCAGTTTGATTTCCGGTCAGGGCACATCCCTGGGTTTCAGGCTGGTCCTGGGTTGGGGAGTGGGTGCAAGAGGCAACTGAGCAATGTTTCTCTCACACATCAGTTTCTCTCCCTCTCTTCCTCCCTTCCCCTCTCTCTGAAATAAATAAATGAAATCTTAAAAAAAATCATTTTAAAAAGTGGAGATGAGAGAAGGAAATGAAAGAGGCTGAAGAAAATTAGCAATACTCTGCCCTTTCAAAAGGTGCAGACGATGAGAAGTTTTAGCCAAGGTTCACCCAGGACAGGGGACAGTAGGGGACAGGGCCTGGCAGGAGGGCTGCCCTCCCACAGACTGAAGACCAGGCAGGACCCCAGCTGGAGAGATGGTAAAGAGAGCACAGTCGATAGAAGGGGCAGGAGCCAAACAAGCAGCACCAAGTTCTACAAGTAGCACTGTGGCAGTGGGAGTCTACAGCTCAGCAGTGTTGTGACCTGTGTGTGTGAAAGAGGACACACTGCAGCGAACTCCGCTATAGCCTGAAGGGTACAGATGTCGGTGTAACAGGGTAGGCTGGAGAGAGATGGCTTTCCACAGGTCCAGGACTCCTTTGCTTTCTCTAACCTAACAGCCATGACAGACACAGCACAGGATTGGCTGGGTAAGTGTAATTAGTGATCTGCCTCATCCACAGGGCGGGCCTTCTCCCTCCCTCCTTCTTAGTAAGTTTAGCGCCAGGCTTCTTTTATCTTCAAGGAGAGCGGTTTAACAAAGGCAGCTTTGGGATAGTAAGTTCTCTTTCTCTTTAATATCAAGTGATAAATGAGCAAATATTTGTAAACAGCACTCATGTCTGAAAAGACTAGAACACACAAATGCATTAGAACTATGGGACAGGGGGTGAAAGAGACACAACTTCTATGCGGTTCACGCATCACAGCTGTCATCCCTTTTGGAAGGGGCAAGCTGACAGGGGCCATAGAGCCAAGCTGACTCGAGTATGCAAGGTCCAGGGGAGAATCAGATACCTTTTTGCACTGAACACACTGCAAGGCATACTGTTTCTCATAGCAGGGCACACAGAAATTCTGCTCGTCCTTGGGGATAAAGCTCTTGGTTCCAATTGGCTGCTGACAGCGATGGCAGATGAAGCAGGTCTCATGCCAGCTGCTGCTCTTGTACTCCATCTTGCGGGTCCCTGTTGTGAGAGTCAAGAAAAACAGAGCAGCTATGAAAATGACTGCCTGAGAGTCCCAGCAGTCTGCACTGAAACCTGCTATCATCCAGTTTTGTGACCACAGCAAGTCACTTCAGCTCTCAAATGCTCACCTCTAAATGGGAATAATTTCTATGTTGTAGAAAGCTGGGATTTTGTCCAGTGGTCCATGGCTGTACACCCAGCTTCTAGAACAACATCTGTACACACTCAACATATTTGTATGCACATAACATGAAAAAGGATATTTGTGTGTCTCTCAGCATCGCAAAATATAAAGAGCAATCTGGCATAGCTCAGACTCACCCTGGTGGAAGGTGAATTTTGGAGCAGAGGGACCTGTTAACAAACACCCCTCTGCTTCTCAGTGGAATGGGAACAGTTGGGTGGGAAGGATCCTAGTCTCCAGCCTGATTCAACAAGGAGCCTCTCCATCACTCACTTTATGCAGCTGCAGTGCAAACCCAGCTGTGATCGACCTCAGTGCTTTCACACACTACGTTAGTGCTACCACTAACATCCACACGCATAACTTGTACGTCCCATGTAGTAATTTTCTGCTCTTATCTCGACACATATTTCCTTTTCAATAACTATTATCATGCGATATGCTTACATAATTTTCTCAAGTAGGTTAAGAAGATAGAGAACTGAAATGTTTTTGGGTTCGCTCACACCCCCACCGCCAAGGCTGATTCACAGCCAATGCTCAATACTTGTTGACTGATGTTTTTCCCAAACTTTACCAAAAAATGTGTGTATATTTATTGAAAGACATGGTTCAGGACAGACATGTATGTGAGCACCCTTGGTATGAAGCAGAAATATAGAAGGATTTGGAAAACAAGGAGCGTAATGGGTGAGGGAACAGAAATGTTTGGGCACCAGCACACAACACACAGCGGAAGGGCCAAACCCAGACTGCCGCCCATTTGATAACTGAAGTTTAATTGGAACATAGCTACACCCATTACTTCCACCCTCTATAGCTATCATACCACAATGGAAGCATCGAATAGTTGTGACAGAGACTGCATAGCCTACGAAGCCCACAATATTTATCAGGTTCTTTATGGAACATTTTGCCAATCCCTGGGCTCACAAAAAGGATGCTGCTTTCTAAGAACTCCAACTCAGGGTCAGGAATGAAGGCCGAGGGCAGGAGCCTGGTGGCAGCATTCTGAGACAGTACTGGCAGCACGATGTAGGCATCGATAGTCTTCAAGTCAAAAAAAATAATACAACAAACTAAGGGCTGTATTTTAGCTGGTTGGAAAGTTGGTGAGGTGTACATGATTCTGGGAATCATTACGGGATTATTTTATTAGCTATCATTTTGGGGTCACTCTCTTAGCTTCCTGTATTTCCAAGATCAGACATTTGAGTGTACCACCCGCCATAAAGTAATAAAAAACCCAAGAAATTCTTGGGGGGAGGGATGGCACACAGTGATCTTCTAAGCCTATGGGATTCAATCATGGGGTGATGAATCCTGAAATGAGGAAAATTATAGTAAGCAGTTTAATTTTAGGTAAAAATGGTAGAAGGATTTTAATGTAAATTCTAGAATGATTTACCTCAATCTCTGGAGGGGTTATTTTCTCATGTATAGCTTCTTCACTTGTTCTTTTAATATCTGTTCTTCCCTCTGATTAAGCAGTTTTTTTGTCAATGAATATAGGACTCCAAGCAAGACCACATAAATGCACTCTTGGTGTCTTCTGAAATAAGTCTTATATCAACACCAGTGCTCAGGGAGCTGTCCTATCGCTAGTTGGGAATCCACTGGGCACTTCCAGCCCGAAGGGTTGTGGGTGCACATCTGAGAGGCACCCTTTACACAGACCTGCAAAAGTATTGTGAAACACTGCCAGCAGGTGGCAGCAAAGTTCCTCCTTCTAACAATCGGCACGTCAGACCAATTCGCCAAAGGAAGAAACATCTTTTTCAGATTCAAGTAAGCAAGTGAGGAAGCAAAAGCTCGGTGAAGGATTAGTGATGGTGTGAACCTACTCAGAGGCTGTGGGGCTTCTGCAAGAAATCTCTGCAAACAGGGCCTCAGCATTTCGTAGATGAGAACTGGTGAACCCTAGCACTGTGGTGTGTCACACAACCCTGGCTTCCTGACTACATCAAGAAATTGACTTCTGTAAGGTGTGAGCCCAGAGGGTGACTTTTTAGTTTAGAACATGCCTCTTGTCCTACCTATCTAAATTCAAGAGCACACCAATGCTCTCTGCACTGATATTCATCTTGCTCTGGCTGTAGCACTTTAAAAAAATCAAACCAAAGCAAGGAAGCCAAATGTTATGATGACACAGTGCTTGCCTTTTCCTTCTTTTTTGTTTTGCACACACCAGGCTTTTTCCACACCCTGCCTCTGGTGTCCAGTCCATGTCCAAAAGTGACCCTATCTGACTTCTCCTTCTGTTGAAATCCAGTTTATCATTGAAGACTGCTGAAATGTGATTCCCAAGTGTCCCTTTCCTGACTTCCCTGCTCTTTAGCACAGCAGGTTTCAGATGGATTTCTCCAACATTTCCATCTGAAAGTCCCTAAGACCACAGTGAGATGCATATCACTGAGGGTGGAGAAGCGGTACTCTTAGGGAATGGTCTGAGCCCTCCCCTAGTTCAGCTTACCAGAATCATGAAATGTCTTTGAAATCACAAAAATTTTAGTAAACTTGCACAGCTTACATTCTAAGATATACTTATGTCTGTCTTCACCTCAAATACCAGTTAAGCTATTTAATGTTTTGCTTCCTGAACTCGGAATTATGCCATTGCTCTGGAAAGTTGTAGCCTTTATCCCATATACCCTGGTCCACTCCTGTAGAGCAGCAATGGCTGGACATCCCCATGGCCTACCGGTCAGTCCCTCCAAGGACACACTCCTGGAGGACAGGGCCCAATTCTTGCTCACAGTTCCATGTCTTTAGCTGACTCTGCCTTGCGTCTTCACACAGTCAGGACCTTTTCCTCATGCAAATCTAGGCCTAAATGTTATCACCTTGGACTGTCTCATCTAAAGCAGGCCTCCTGTCCTCTGTCTCTTCCCCTCACCCACACTGCTCCAGGCTCTCTCCTCACTTGGCCAGAGCATCTGGGCACAGGGCGCCAGGCTGTGTGCGCCCATGAAGCACAAACTAAACATCTCTGGGCTGTGGAGCTGAAGCAAATGCTCAGCCACCTTGTCTTCTGAACCCACAGACAACAGTGAGTGAGATGTCCGCAGCGGAGGGAAAACCAACAACTGGACACCTTCACCTTCCCCCGCCTGCACCCTTCAGTGAAGTGTGCTTCCACCCTCGCTGCTGTCCCTGTCACAGGGAGCCCTCGTCCCCCCACCCAGAGCTCACCATGCCCTTGGCCACCTGGTTTCAGTTGTGGTGTCTGTAACATGAGGTGAAGCCGATCAGCTGCAGGGACACTGCAGGACAAACTGGGTCCCATGAGCAGGGACAGGCCCATGCACTGCACCTGCTCAATCAGCAGTAGCTGTGGTCCTGTTGTGATTGCCACATAGCATTTCTCACCACGGAGCCTGCAACCTGGAAGGCTGCACCCCAGATTCCCTATTCCTTAACAGGAGAGACCTGAGCCAATTAATGTTTGATTTCTATTTGCTGTCTGAACATGAATTTTTTTTCTCTCTCCAGTAGATACCATGAGAAATGGAAGGTGTGATGGTTAATTTTATGTGTTAACTTATCTGGGCTATGATGCCCAGTTGTTTGTACACCAGTCTAATGTGGCTGTGAAGGTACTTTACAGATGTGATTAACTCTTAAATCAGTAGACTTTGAATAAAGTGTGGGTGGACCTCATCTAATCAGTCAAATCAGGCCCTAAGAGCAAAGCCTGAGGTTTCCCCTAGTAGAAGAAATACTTCTCAAGACTGCAAGAGAAAAACGCTGTCTGAGTGTCCAGCCTGCTGCTCTAAGAGACTCAGACTCAAGGCTGAAACATCAACTCTGACCTGAGTCTCCAGTCTGTACATCTGCCCTCTGAGCTGCAGACATGCCGGCCCCCAGGGTGTGAGCCAATTCCTTACTACAAATCTCTCTCTCTCTGTTTCTCTAGAGAGAAATTCAAATACCCGGGAAATATTTGTTTTTTATGTCATGATTGGTGATAAAGGTTAAAGTCTTGAATGGCCCCAGGACTGAGACTGTAAAATAGAATTTCCAAGAATCACTGTAGACAAACTTCTGAGATAAACTTGGGTCTTCTCCTCCCATCTTGTCAGAAAGGGAAACAGAGTCTCAATGAAGGGCAGTGACTGACTGAGAAGTCAGAACCATACAACAGGAGACTAGAAACCAAATTCTGCCGATTTCTAGCCTTTCCCTGAGGACTGGGAGTACAGGGAAGGACCCCAAGGTGAGGGAGGGGCTGGGATGGACCCTATGGTGGAAACAACACAATGAGACCAGCTCACATCTCCTGTGGCCCGCTGTCACTCAGCAAAGATGGGAACAAGTGTGAGAGGTGTCAGAGGAGTCACTGGAGCAACAGGCCAAGTCACTAAAGAAAATGTGCTCTTGCAGGCGGCACGGAAGGAAAAAATTTCTAAAAAGTTACACCTGCCAGACTGCTTTGAATTTAAAGTAACTCAGTCTATTACTTTAAATTTAGGCTGAAGGTGGAGAGGTGGGGATGGGGGCGGGGAGGAGACCAAGGTCTAAACAACTGTAGGTGGCTAAAGTCACATAGCTGCTGAGGAGCACAGCGAGGACACAGGCCTCCTGACCCTCCACCCAGTGGACGTGCATGGAGCCAAGCTGTCTTGCTGGAGATAAAATCGACACTGCTGCTCTGCACTCCTACTAGCAAGGCTGTGCATGCCCAACACCACCAAGGTTTATCTTGCATGTCCTCCATTTTTCCACCTTCAGAATTAACCAACGCTGCCACAGTGCAAGGCGTTAGTGATATCCATACCTACAAGTCCCGGTCAGCCTTTCTCTTAGCCTGGTCCAGAAGGCTGCTCAGACCACAGTGCAGCAGGGACAGCACTGGACAATGGGATCCTAATCCTGGTTCAGCCACTAACTGTAGCCTGAGGTGGCCATTTAACCTTCTGATTTCTTCACTGGTGACCTGAGACAGGTAAACTTTAAGGTCATGTAAGCTTAAAGTTGTCAGTGCTTTTACAATTTCCTGCTGTGTGATTTAACATAGTTATTCAAAGTGCCCGAGCCTAGCCGGGACATTCTTTAACACCTACACAACGCCCTATTGCCAAATGAACCACAAACTCCCTTCTTGAAGATCCCAGTTGTTCCCATGGGCTCTGTTGCCACCTCTGCAGATGCCCGCTTGGTCTGTGCAGCTCGCACCAGTCCCAGGAGCTCCAGGTGACCCACACAGCCTGGTACTTGGTCCTCTGGGTCTCCCTCCCCGCCCTCTCCCCAAAGACTCCTATCCTGACCTGGCCCTCCAGGTAGGGGAATGAAGGGGAGGAACTGGAGAAGCAGAGAGGTCGCAGGGTTTACTTGAAAAAGAGCAGAGCAATGCTGAGGAAGGACAAGCAAGCGCGCGCACACACACACACACACACAAATCCAGAAGGTGGACAGATGGGCTGAAGAAGGCAGGACCAGCCAGCTAGGGAAGGGCTCTGGGGAGTGGGTGAATGTGGAAGCTGTGATGAATTTAAAGGAGTCTGCTCTGAGTCACCCATGGAACCTTCCGTGGGCTCTGACCATGAAAACTTAGTAAAGATTTAACTTGTTTTTCAACTACTTCTGTGGTTCCTATTGTGCCAGGACTGTTGTGTCTCTGTAGGTGACTCCCAGTAGGAGAAGGTGGCAGGTCACCTTGCTTTTATGTGGGCTTTAGTTTGCATCTCCACCATCACCACATGTGGGTCCCTCGGTTCCAACATGTACAGCGTTAACATAACTTTGTAAAAGTCTTCCTGCCCATTTTTTCCACCACTGGAAGCTGCCACAGCGGCTCCAGCAGGGCTGTGAGGACATTGCTCTGGGTTTTTGTTCCTCATGATAGAATGTCCCAGTTATTTTTAAGATGTATTGACCAAAGAAATGAAGTAGTAATAGAAACCATCTCACTGAAAGCCTAATTATGCCCATGCCTTTTTTAAAAGTTTGGATTTCTTGTCCAATATATCTTCTTAAAATACAGTTCCTGTATTTCAGTCTCTTGCTCAGAACTCTTCAGTATCTTCACTGCCAAAAACAAAGCAAACGAAAAATAAAACAAGAACTCCAGAGCTTGGCAATTAGTCTTCCTCTGAAGAGTTAGAGTCTAACTTTAAATTATCTCAGTAGCCTTCATTCTCATATGAAATATGATTACTCAGCAGATCACCTTGGTCTTTAAAAATTAGCACTCAATCTATTGATGTAACAAACCCAAAACCCTCAGCTTAAGTTCATATGACACATCTATTACTGAATTCTTGAGTGTAGTGAATTTTAAAAATCACTGTTAAGGGGACATTGTGTTTGGTTCTGTTTATTAATGCAGTGAACTGAACTCCTTTAAAACTACTTTTGTAATATATTTGATATCACTTTAAAATACCTCAACTACCCAACTGAACCTCAAGTTCCTAAATAATTGTTGTTAAAATGAATTAAACCTATAAATACGGGGAAGCTTAGGAGATCTGAAATGTCAAAACATTTTCTCTGTTAAGAAATTTTCAGTTGAAAATCACAAGCCTAGCATTGGCCAGGTGCTGTTGGTAGAAATGCTGTCCTGATGTGCCAAGGCTGCGGGTTCAGCCCTGGGATGGAACCAGTGAACGCATCAATAAGTAGAACAACAAAAATCGATCTCTCCCCCACTTCTCTCTCCCTTCCTCTCTTTCTCTCTAAAAAATAATCAATAAGAATCACAAGCTTAACCTATTCTTTAGGCCATCTTGTTTTTAAACCCCATACGTACTTGATCAGATTATTTCATACCACATCAGTACTACGGGTTAGACTCTCTTAATATGTCTGGCCTTAATTCTAAACCTTCCTAGAGCTAAAGGATGCTCACCTACTAAAGAAGCAGTCTTGAAGATGGACACCTTCCCAAGCACTCTGAGGATTCACTGGCAACCCGAGCTGGATTCAGCAGTAGCTCTGTCAGTGCCCTCCTGATGGGGTTCTCAGAGCCCTTGGGCCCTATTATCAAGTTACATTCCCCCAAGTCCTCTGTTTCCTCACGCAGGCTATCTGTACCCCAACCAGTCTGCTGTTCACAGACTGGGTTCCAGGGATCTAATTACTGCTTCATCCCCTCTCACTCTCTGGAGGTCACACATCCTGAAGATATCCAAGGAACAGAGTTCCCTCCTGGTTTTATGTAGCTCTCTGGAAGGGATGCCAGATTACAGGTCCAAATGGGACAGACACTAAAAAATTAGCTATGCTCTTATTTGCTAAATCTGCTAATTCTACCTTCTGGCCACACTTGACCGGTTATGCAGAGCACCTCACTGATTGTAAGTGGCCGATGAGCCAGCCACACTGTCTACACCTTTCTCCCAGTCGTCCAGGGTCCAAATCTTCAGCCCCTCTCACGGAGGTCACTCTCCTTGCCCTCATTTCTATGTATCTAACAAGAATTTGTTCTTAAAATTTCATGCATATTTGTTCACTCTATTTTTTAAAAATGAAACAATCCTTTCTCCTGCAAAAGACAAAACAAAACAAACTACTTTCCTCCTAAACAACAAGAAACACAGTCCCATCCTGCCCCTTCAACAGACAAGTCACCTTATTACTGTCGTTGGCACCTGACCCAGCTTCAGTCAAGTCTGTGTTGATCTAGAAGGTAGCGTCCATCTGGCTAGAATGTAAACTCCATGTGGTGGAGGACCAGGGATGCCTCTCCACTCACTGTTCCATGAACACCTAGCTGCTTGCCCTGGGTCTGGCGCCAGGAGGCCACAAGGCATTTGCTTAAATAACCAAATGAGTACAGATGCAGCAAGTAGAAGGGAAGAAAGACAAAGCATGTTTCGTGGTATCACAGGAAGAAGGGAGTGTTCCTGACCTGGCATGATGGTCTTCTTGCACTCCTGGCACTTGGATGAGTACTCATGGGAGTAGCAGTCCGTGCAGAGCAGCTGGTCCTCCTTGGCAGCAAAGGGCTTGTCTACCAGCGAGCTCTTGCACCGCGAGCAGTGGAAACAGGCCTCATGCCAGTGTCGGTCCTTATAGGACAAGTCCTGCAGACAGACCCAGACACATGAGATTGTCAGAGGGCAGACAGGTTCGGAACTGCTCTGTCTGAGCACTATAGAGGGGCATGGTGCAAATCTGCAGCACGAACAGGGAGTAAAGCAGGGGCCAAGGCCTTTGGGCATTCCTGTACCATGACCTTCACCTACTGCTGAAATGAGCAAGGTTAGGATGCTTTTCTTTCACTGCATTTGGAGCAACCATTTACACAGGGGGTGTGTGTGTGTGTGTGTGTGTGTGTGTGTGTGTGTGTGTGAGTGAGAGAGAGAGAGAGAGAATGATGTTTTGAAAAATGAATGGATTTCCCTTAGGTATCATCTATAAGAAAGAAACAGAAAACACAAGCTTCTTACTCAATAAACAGTCCTTTGAGCCTGCAGGAGTCCTTGGACCATGAGGGAGCTCATCAAAACCAGCCATGACAGCAGGATCACTGTGATGACCAGCAGGAGAGGAAAGCCCTGAGTAGAGGGAAATTCAGGAAAGGAGACCCAGCACAGGGCCCTAGTTTTTTCTGGTAGAAAGTGGGTAAGGAGACTTTATGTGGTATGCCACCAGCTGAGTGTAGAAGCTCTCCAGAGGGCACTGAGCTGGGCAGAGGGTTTGGAGAAGGAATTCCAGGCAGAGAAAAGCATGCGCATGGATGAGGGGCAAGAGGAGGGTTTTCTGTGGAGGGGAGTGTTGGTCTTCAGGGACAGGCCAGGGCATGATAGGGGCAAGTTCCTGCCCAGACTGGACCAGGAGGGCTCCATTAAGGTCTGTATGCAGTTCAAGTTTATCCTGAATGCAGTGGGGAGTGACATGTTAAGATTGCGTGTGACAGTTGGAAAAGCACAGGGAATGGGGAAGGAGAAAACAGAGGTGGAGGCTCGTAGAAGGTCCCTACAGGGAAGTGAGGGGCCCATAGGTCTGGTCTGTAGGAAGAGCAGACAGGAACAGACAGGACAGATGTTGAGAAGACAGAACCTATGCTCTTTTAGCAAAGGGTCAAAAAGAGAAATGAACCCAGGAGAGAAAACTATGCAGACTTTATGCAACCCTTAGTTTTGCTTGAAAAATCATAAGAAATCTTCTCATACTTGTGTTGTTAAAATGGAATATGGGATTTTGAAAGCACCAATACAAAATTAAAATAACCTGTTTCCATCCAGTTTTATCTTAAATGGGATTATTTTCCTATTGTTCCTAGTATTCCCAGCTCTGATCTAGAACCATCACCCATTTATTAACAAGGGAGAAACAGAATTTTAGGCCACCACAGGGTTTCCTGGGCCAGCTTCCAGCTCCCAGGAGCCCCAAACACCACCGCTCACGCCACCCACGTCAAGAGCTTCTCCTCACGACACCTGAGTAGAAGCTGAGTGATGCCATGTGCAGGACGTGAAAGCACCCATCCTAGACTTGATTAGAAACACCTAAAATGCCAACTCAACTCAAAACCCAAACTAGAACAAGTAGTTCTCTCTTGCTGAAACACTGTTGTGTGTATGTTTTCCCAGAACCTTGAACCAAACTAAAGGTATTTGATTTGGTGATCTCTTTGCACATCATTTTAATTCAAGGAATTAAAAAAATATGTATCTTTGTAGAATCCCTATGAACACAGTTGGGTGACAGAAGGGCTATGTGCACTTGTGTGTAGCTCCCTCTATGCCGGTCCTGTCTGAGGCTTGCTTTTCCAACACCTGGGAACAGAATCCTGGCTGATACAAGACAATAAGGAATAAAGGCAAGACAAGCATAGAATTTCCTCAATGCAGGACTTCAAGGACTTGTTTCTGTTTCTCTGTGTCCTGGTGTCAGGGACCCTCTGAGATGGGCACTGCTTCTTGGGGGACCAGGGAGAGGACAATGAAATGCCCGTTCCTCTTCATCCTTTGAGAACCCAAACCAATGGATGTATGACCTGGGGGCAGAGGACTGTCCTGTCTCTTGAATTTCTAGCCCTAAGTATTTTCAGAAACTTTGAGGAAAAATAATCACCTGCACTTCACTGGTGATTCTGGCAGGAAATAAGGTAGAAGCTGCATTAATTTGTGTTAATGACTATATATGTAATCTCATTACACACTGCAAAGTCCATACTTTGCATACATCTTTCCTTCTAAAAGAATTCATTACTTTTCCCATTCCTTTCTGGGATATCAGGGATGATGATTATGACCATGTTGAAAGGTCAAGGCTGTACCACCCTGCAAGGTAAATATTACTACCGAAGCTCAGAGAAGTTCAGTTACTTGCTCACAGCCGTGCAGTTGGCACGTCACTTAAGCCAGGATTCAAGCTCAGGTCCATCTGACTCAAAAGCTATCTCCAGTGAGCATACCAGGTAAAATCTTGGTAGACGGTGCTGCTCTTTGCTTTCAAAAACTACCCCTAAAGAGAGCTGTGTATATCCACTAAAAAAAATTAGAAACAATTCCATGTTTATAGCCAAATGAATGCAATTCAGCATTGCCTTGATTAGACTTTAAATGAAGTGGAAAAAACCCTTTAAAGCCCTGTCCAGTACGAACAGGAATAGTCTAATATAAGAAGAGCTGGAGTTGGATCATGCTTTCACTGTTGTCAAGCTGACTGTGGGATAAATGTATTTCAAAAATTTTGGAATGAAAAATAGTATGACAGTCCCTCAAAAAATTAAAAATAGAACTACCATATGATCCAGCAATTCCACTTCTGGATGTACGCCCACAAGAACTGAAAGCAGGGATCTGTAGACCCATGTTCGCGGCAGCATTATTCACAATAGTCAAAAGGTGGAAGCTACCAAGTATCTATTGATGGATAAAGAAAATGTATAAACATACACTGGACTATTACTCAGGAAAGAAAGGAAATTCTGACATATGCTACAGCATGGGTGAACCTTAATCCAGACACAAAAAGACAAACACTGTATGATTCCACTTACATGAGATCCCTAGAGCAGCCAGATTCATAGACACAGAAGGCAGAGTGGTGGCTGCCAGGGGCCGGGGGCAGAGGGAATGAGGGTGGTTGTTCAGTGGGTACAGTTGCAGTTTGGGAAGATGAACAGTTCTGGGGATCTGCTGCCCAACAATGTGCATGTACTTAACACTGCTGAAATGTACACTTAAAAAGGGTTAAGATGGCGTGTTTTACATTATACGTATTTTACTACAACTTAAAAAATTAAATATTAAGTTTTGATTGTTACGCAGCAGGTGAAAAACACTTTTTCAGATGTTATCTGGGTTCCCTCTGTGCAGACCAGTCACCCCATAGAGGCCTGCTATTGTGGAAATACTGCAGAACGTTCTCCATGTTCTGTGAAATCACCTCCTGTCTTTGATGAGACATGCAGAGGAGCGGGTGAGGGGAGAAGGGAAGGTCAGAGGCCTGCTTCCTGGGAGTTGGTCTAGTGTTGCCCAGGGAGTCAGCATCACACAGTCAGGGGCTACAAGTTGTTAGTGAAAAGAAAAGGAAAGGAAATAGGAAGTTAAGGACATTTGTCTCTTGGGGCTGACCTTAAGAAAAACTGAGGGAGGAACCTCCCCAGAGGGCACTGTGAGAGCAAAGCCACCAGCTGTCATGACAGTCTCTTCCCTGGTTGGTGATTCCCCAGATGAGAAAAGAGCAGCGGAGTGGTGAATGCGACTGCACAGTCATGGTAAAGCTAATTTTAAACTATTCACATGATTCAAAAGCACTGCAGAAACCCACCTTTCTTACGGTCGACATTTATGGCATGAAAACACAATAGCAACTGTTTCAGGCTGATTTGCTGACATAGAAATTTGACACTAGGAAGTGTCCCCCTACATTTGGGTACTAATGACAAGCCCTTACTAGATTGTAAGCATCCATGCAAGACTTCCATACTTTCTAAAGGCCACACTTCCTGTGCTCACTCGAGCTCCCTTGGTCTCCAGTTCCTCAAGGAGCTGCTGCCTTCCTCAAAATGACCTGATTTACTAAACCCAAGAGCGGTACCGCCACCTGACCTTGGCTTCAGCCTGAGAAGCTGACCTGTGCTTCAGGCTGGCGGAGAGGTGGGAAGTGCTTCTTGTCCCACCCTCCCCCTTCCCAAGATGCTTTTCCAGTTGACCAGGGTTGGGCTACTGAGGCATTCCTTTCCTGGGGCCACTGTAACTCATCTGCCACACAAACACACACACACATCTTTCTGCATTTACACAAGAGTCCCTGAATTGTTCATTCAAGGATGTTTTGATAGTCTTCAGAACATTCTGACAAAATATTTCCCCTGAAGATAAATATTGAACTATGACCATGCTCTTAAATTTCATGATATGCAATAAATAAAAATAGTCTTTAAATAAGCTTGCATCACTGTTGGTAGTGGGTCCTCAGCAGGAATATAAGTGGCCCACCTCTCTCTTTCAGCTGCAGACAGTGGTCAACTTCCCAGGCCCAGGACATCCTGGTGGCTGCTGTGAGCAGGCATGGGAGCCACCTTGTCACTCACTCTGCATCTGCTGGAGCATGAGTGCCCCCCAGAGGCCATGGTGGGTGTCTAAAACACCTGATGTATTTCATCCTACTGCCTGAACTGGGGGCTCCAGATTGGGGGGGTGTTGGGGAATGGGTGAATAGGAGAGGGAATTAAGAAGTACAAATAGGTAGTTACAGAGTAGACAGGGGGATGTAAAGTACATTAGAAGAAATGTAGTAGTCAAAGAACCTACGCATGACCCATGGACATGAATAATGGTGTGGGAATTGCCTGAGAGAGTGGAGGGTGCTGGGTGGAGGGGGTCAAAAGGGGAAAAATTGGGACAACTTTAATAGCAAAATCAATAAAATATAATTAAAAAATGTTACACAAAGGCATTAACCCAGAACATAAACTACATATTAAAATAATCAAAACTAAAAAAAAGGACTTTAAAGAGTTAATGTGTTATTACATGTAAAGCATTTTAACACATAGCAGTTTTACAGTAAAGCAGATACACCAATCATATACAACTTGGTTTATTGTAATTGCTCAATTAACATT